TGTCTCTTTGAAAATCCAGCTGGCCAGCAAAAAATACATGAACAGGGAATCAGCAAACCAACACTAATTAATTCAGATTTACGAGTTAACCCAGCAGAACTCAGATCAGTATTCCGACACTTGTTACACTTAGATTTGTGAGTTAGCTTGTTAACCCAGCCCGGCTTTTCCTTCACAGTTACAGAGAAATTTATAGCACTGAATGCATATATGAGAAAAGCGAAAATTCTGAAACCAATAATACAAGTTCCCATGTCAGGAAACTAGTAAAAGAAGGCAAATTAAATCCAAAGTAAACAGAAGAAAAGATACAATAAAAATTAGAGCAGAAATCAGTGAAATTGAAAACAGGACATCAATAGAGAAAACTCAATGAAACCGAAAGCTGGACACAGTTCCAACAGGAATTTCAAAACCCATCTGGGAGGAGATGTGCTCCCACCTCCATGTTTTCAATCAAGAAACTTCAGGAACATACAGGGAAACATTTAAAAAAAAAACAAAAAACAAAAAACTCTAGTGTCTGAACTTCTGAGAGGAAATAACTTCAGCACAGAAAATCCCATCACAAAAGAAAGGCAGGGACAATCATTGTTACCAAAGGCAAGTTCGTGTGCCCGCAGCACCGTGAGGCAGAAGAAATTGAAACATTGAGTTTGGGGCAGAGAAAGGTTTATTGCAGGGCCGAGCACGGAGGACGGGGTGGCTCATGCCCCCAAAATCTCCGAATCCCCCAAAGGGTTTCAGCAAAGCATGTTTGAAGGCCGGGTAAGGGGGAAGTGGGGGGTCGCAGGGCGCGTGATCAGCTGTGCGCAATTCTCTGGCTGACGTTGCCCTATCAGGGTCAGTCAACACTACCAACCCCTAGGCTCCAGGTCTGGGGGCCATGTGCTCATGATCATCAAGTAGTTAATTTCTTCCCTTTGGTTATGGTTTTTAGCATCTGAAAAACTCAGGAAATATTCATGAGGTGCTATGATGTGGGTACTTCAGAGAGGAGTCACAGCAGAGGATGGTGGGGGTGGGGGGCAGTGTCCTGTCCCAGGAAGGCCCCACAGGGTCCTGCTCTGTCACCTCATCAGTCATGAGGCATTTTCACCCAAATTATCCCCCTTCAACTAGCCTTTCTTATTGTATTACCATCCCTTTCTTTACCGGCACTCTTAGCATAAATTCAGGTGGGATCCAAGGGGCTTTTGAATAACAAGGACACTCCTATTGTTACGGAAACAACAGGCCAGCCAAGCAACTAGCACCACTCAGAGGGTTGGAGTACTCAGATTTAGTACTCAGATTTATTACGCCGGCAGCTCTGAGGGGCTTCTGCTCCGAAGCTCTGACCACCTCCAAAACCTGTGCGTGAGGTTTTATAGGGTTAATTACAAGCTTGGGGTATGCAGCCAGTAGGAACAGCAGCATCATTATCACAAAAGCAGAGGCAGAGAGGCAGCAAACCAAAATTCCAAGGCCAGATAAGTCTCTCTGAAAATCCAGCTGGCTAGCGAAAAAAAACATGAGCAGGGAATCAGCAAACCGACACTTGTTAATTTAGATTTATGAGTTAGGCCCAGCAGAACTCAGATCAGTAATCCAACACTTATTAAACTTAGATTTACGAGTTAGGCTCAGCCCGGCTTTTCCTTCACACTATTACCGAGGGCAAGGCCAAGGACTTAGAATCTCTCCATCAGAAAGCAGAGACAACCTCCACTCAGAATGCTCACACAATCACCTCAAGTCCACATCTCCTCCAATTCTTGCCTCTCTTCAAAGAAGGATAAAATCCACAAACAGGGCCCATGGCTGGTTGGCTTTGGATTCATCTTCTCAAACTTTTCATTATAGACGTTTTCGAACACAGGCAACAGAAGAAAGAATAATGTAAGGAATCCTCGCATCTCCATCACTGTTTCCCTGATTATCCGTCTATGTTTGTTTACGTCCCCCATCCTCAGATTATCCTGAAGCAAAGCCCCTGTAGGACATCCTATCAGTCTGAGAATTCTTTATAAAGCTTCCGGAGGGGTTGCCACACCCGGGGCAGGTCTCCAGTGGGCTATAGTTCTGCTGAAATCTCAACCCCAGGACAGCTGGTTGGGGGCACCTGACTCCAGCATGACAGATAAGTAACACTTCTACCCACACTGCATGCACGTGTGTGAAATAAAACCAAGTGCAGCTGCACTGCATTCAAAGCTTCTAAGGTTTGTCAGCAAGCTTTGGCCCTAGTTTTTCTCCTGGGTCTCAAAAGATCCATGTCTACAGCTCTGATTGTCTCCTAAAGAATCAACTCTAAAAAATGTAAGCTCAAGAATATATAAACTCAAATACTCCTAGTTAATTAAAATCAATACGGGGTGGGGCAGAATTAGGTAAGAGAGAGCATATCAGTATTAGTTATAGATCACAGACCCATTTCCGAGGAAGGAAAAGTGGGGAACCAATCAACCAACCTTGAATAGTAACAAAAATCTGACCCTGACCTTTGGTCTATCGTGGCAGGGTGACTGAGACAGCCCCTGATACCTGGGTTGGGAGAGGAGTATTTTTTCGTCTGTGTATCTGGGGCGTTCTGACCCTCCCCCGGGTACCAGGGAGCATCTAGGAGGCACCTCCTTCACGATGGGATGGCAAGCGCGGAGTCACCCAATACCTCCCCTCTGACTGACCCTGCAAAACAGGGAGTCAGATGAATATGAAATCTCCTCCAATTCTAGTGGCGCACAGCGGCCCAGCAAGGCGAGGGAGGAGACGTTAAGTCTCATGGTCAGAGACATGAGGGTTTGCCCCTCAATTCACATCTCCAAAGCACCTGCGAGGGGCTCGGCTTGGGTACCTGCTTGCTCCTCAACAGAAGCACTCATGCTTCCTGAGCCGCTCGCCAGGGAAGAGCCAGCTCTGCTGCCCTCAACTCTGCAGAAGAGCCAGGGCAGGACCCGTGGTTTAATCTCTGTCATTCTCTTCTCCATCCAGCTGTTTCCCAAGTATGAATTGGCTTCAAACAAGGCTTTCGTTTTAGGAACTCACTGAAGATGCTTTTGACCATCTCCCAAAGCAGAGAAGAATCGACAAAGAACTTTCCTTCCCAGAAGCAAAGGAAGAAAACTTTTAAAAACCACATTTCAGCTATTGCAGGGAGGTCTTCCATAAAAAGATGGTTTCTCTCCCCAGGAGGTGAATGTGTCGGGAGGTGACGCAGACCAACACATCTGTCAGGACTATCAAGTGCCCTGGGCCTGACTAGAGTGCCCTGGGGGTCCAGTACAAGAGATGTGTTAACTTCTCCAGCATCCATATGAAAAGGTCTGGGGTGCCCCCTGCCCCAGTGATACCCTCCTTTTCATACCACAAGGAGCCTGGCCTCAGCTCTCCTCTTAGGAAAGCCCAGAGCAGGACTTACCTCACCACGAGAGGTTAAGTTTCTCCCACTTTTGAGATAAGAACTTATGTCCTGACAATATCAGGATATGAGGAGCTCAGGAAATTCCAGCAATCCACTCACCCCCTCCCTTAGTGGACTGGGGTTATTTTCACTGCACGGAACATTGCAGGAAAAATAGCCCCTTGTGCTTCAGCCTGGCAGCTTGTTCCCTCCCTGGTCCTTAAGTCTTCCCAACCCTTCACCTGGTCAATCCCTATGTCTGGAATTGGCTCAAACAAGGATAAGAGCCTGAGAGGCTAGGGCCAGTGGCAGGCCTGTGACTCAAGTAAGGACCAGCGCTGGGTCTGCAGCCCGTGGCCGAGAATGGACAGGAATGTTGCCATTTCCCACGGATCTGCTAGCAGGCCCTTTTGGCCATAGGTAGTCACGCCAGCAGGTGACCTAATATGGTCCCTGAGGTAGCCACACATGCGCTGTCTGCGTGACAACAGGCTTAGCTGATCACTCAGCTGTGCTGGCCAGAGCGGTATCTGTACCAGCCAGTCCCGTGCCTCACAGTCCTGGGAAGAGGAGGCTATCACTGAGGAGAGAAAAAGTAAGAAGGCAAGATGCTCCAATAAGAGCCGAACCACCACCTGTGAACGCAGGTCAGGGTCCCTCTTGCCCAGTGGAGCCCCTTCCCCCAAAGCCTGGGCTATGGGAAGAAGGCTCCGTGGCTGCCGCCAAGACGTCCCCACTGAGATGCCTTTCAGAATAGTTGGGAGGGGGAGGGGTTTCTAGCCACATGGGATCTAGGTCACCTTGACCCTGAACCACACATTCAACACAGGTGGATTCAGATCACGGTTTGAAATCTTAGATTGAAAAGGTTCCTGTTGGATTAAACAGTTTAAGATCATGGATGGGGTGACGAGGGGCTGCAGGACGGGAAGGGAAGCAGGGCTGTTTTCCAGTGAGGAGAAGGACATACTTCCTTGGGAAACTCTGGTTTGGGTGGAGACCTGCTGTGGGGAGCTTCCCTTGAGCACAGGGAAGGAAGGGAGGGAGGGAGGAGAGAAAGAAGGAAAAAAAGGAAAGAAGAAAGAAAGAAAAAGAAGAAAGAAACTAACCAAAAGTCTGAGCACTTACCCCAACCGCCACATGTAGGTAGTGGAGGGTGATATTAAAATTCAATGCCTTTGGAATGCTACAAAAATCTACAGAGTTGAACAGCCCTGTCATCAAGACACCAAGATTTGAAGGTTACTCCAGAGAGCAAAGAGGCAGACACCAGAGGGCTAAGGAGGAACCCACAGTGGCCAGAGATCTCCTCCAAGAGGAAAGGGGCACTAATGACTACTCCCCCAAGCCCCACGCAGCTGCCCAGCAGCCTGGAGATCCCAAAACAGGGGCAGGAGGTCATCCTGCCCACAACACAACCACCCCACCCCCTTCCCTGGCCAAACCCCTCCCCTTACCCCATCTCCCCATCCTCTCACCCTCCACCAGCCCCCCTCCCGTCCTTTCAACCCTGGGGCCTCTCGGGGTAGCTCCCCGAGAGTCCCACCTGCTGCGTTTTCACCGGAGCCTCGGGCACCGCGCAGACAGTCGGCCGAGGGCCGGTGCCCCGCCTACTTGGAGGAGCAGATGGAGATCGTGGCGCCTGTGGAGAACACCCAGAAGGCCGGGTACAGAGCTTCAGTAAAGTCTTCCTTGAACTTATACAACAAGTGGACCTTGTCGGTGGCCACGGCGAAGAAGATGACGAAGCCATGATCGCAGTTGAGAAGCACCCCAACCCGCGTGGCCTTGGTGGTGGGAAGGGTCTTCTCCACGTTGTTGTGCCAGGAAGAGATCTTGGTGTTGAACCACTCCACGCACCAGGAGGCGCTGTTGCGGCCAAGCCGGCTCTCCGGGCCCTGCCGGTCCATGCTGCCGTAGCAGATGCCCACCCCGCAGAAGTTGTTCTTCTGCAGCTCTACCTCCCAGTAGTGGATCCCTTTCTTGTAGCAGTGGAGGCCCAACACCTGAGGGCAGTATGTGAACCTCTGAGGATGTGGCCGGTAGTTCTGGGATGTGTCAGCCACAGAAGCGACGGTGTAGGTCTTGGACAGAGCCACCTTGTTGTGGGCGGTGTTGTAGTCCAGGATGACTTTAACAGCATCTAAGAAAGCATTACCCCAAGGAATCAATGACAAGGATCCCGAAGTGCTCTCATTTTTAAACCCTTTCCTAACTGGTAATATTTTCTCACTTGTTTTATCCATCCATCCACCCATCCATCCATTCTGTCCAGCCAGCCAGACATTTGCCCATCTATCAATCCAGCCATCTGTCCATCTATTGGTCACCCATCTGTCTGTCTATTTCTCCATCCAAGACCATTTACTGAGCACCTGGCTCAGGCCAGATTCCGTGCAGGACGCACAACCATGAACCAGACATGGAGCCTGGCCTCGTGGAGTTCACACTCCAACAAGCAAGGCAAGTCTACCACTGTGAGACCCACACTCTGCTAAAAGGGGAGGGACAGAGACACAGGACAACGGGCTCCACGTGAAGGGCAGAGAGAGCACAGGGAAACATTTCACAGGTGGGCTGGAATCTGAGCCGGGCAACAGGTGAGAAAAACTAGATGGGAGCAGAGGAGGGAGAAAGGCTATGCTGGGCAGAGGGGACAGTGAGGGCCACACAGAGTCACGAGGCTGGTGGACCCGTGCTGGGACCATGGAAGGCAGGGCAGCTGGGAGCACAGGGGCCACAGCTGGAGAAGAGGGACTCGTGGGGCCACAGAGTGGAGAGCTAATGGGTCTAGACTTTAATTGGCGGGCAGCCAGGAGCCGACTGAGGTCTGTAAGCACAGAAGTGACCTAAAATTAATCCTTGGTTGGGACACTAGCCCAGCCTCCCCACCCTTCTGGCCACACCTCTAATCAGCTGCAGGAGCTCTGAAGGCTGAGCTGAGCAGAGTGCTGGCTGTCCCTTCCACCCCTGCCCTAGGACACACCAGGCCTGGAGGAAGGACCTCCCATCACTTCCGGGTGGAGTCCATGGTGGGAGGGGCAGGCAGGGACGGGAAGAAAGGCAGGTGCTGCCTGAAGGGAGCTAGTTAAGGATGTGATAAAGTAGAGGACAGAGAGTCGCTGAAGAGGGGAGAGGCTGACCAAGCCGGAAAGAGGCATGGGCAAGCGAGCCACGGCTCAAAGCTACTCACACTGTAGGAGCTCGGGCCTGGACTTGACCAGGAAGGTCTCCAGCACCTTGGCCTTGAGAGTCTCTGAGGTCGGCGGAAGGGTGACGGCTTTGGCTGCAGCTGGATGAGAAAGAGAGAGCTACTTTCAGAACAAACTCAGAGTGGGCACCCTACTGCCCCTGGCCCCGCGGAACTCACCCTCCTGGTCAGTTTGCTTGACTTCCACTAACTGTTCTGGGGCTCCGAAACAGAGATTCTTGCCAGGCGGGGCAATGGCTGGGGATAAGGGAGAAGCATGAGTGGGGACATGACAGTGACCTGATGGCCTGCTCTCCCCCCAACTCTGACTCCACACACACACACCTGGACAGCCAGGGCAACACAAATGAGTCCAGACAGGGTGACACTCACTGAACTTCTGCATTTACACTTGGCCTCATTCCCAAGCCCAGGCCTGGCTGCCAGCCCGGGACACAGTCACAGAGCCCAGGGCCACCACAGACCCCCAGCCCCGCGGCTCAGCTCTACTATCGGCGTCCGGCAAGAAACAAACCGACGCGGAAATGCGTAACTTACGAGGTTTCTTGGGTTTCTTTTCTTCTTCTGAAAAAGAATATTTTCAGAATTAGGTATTTTAAAGCACAATGCAGTGACATTTTCAAAACACATTGCATGAAGGTGACCCATACATACAAATAAAGCAAAGATGTTTTAACTTGAAAAATATGAGCTCAACAGGCAAAGTCATCTATGGTGATAGAAACCTGCACCAGTGGTTTGGGTGGCGAAAGGCTGACTAATAAGGGGCACGAAGGAATTTTCTGGGGTAATGGAAATTCTTTATCTTGATTTGGGTAATGGTAAAACAGACGTGTCTGTCAAAATTAATCTACCGCGGTGGGGGCAGGGCATAGCTCAGTGGTAGAGTGCGTGCTTAGCATGCATGAGGCCCTGGGTTCAACCCCAATACCTCCATTAAAAAAAAATTAATCTAACTATGCATTTAAGTGTCATGCATTTTACTGGCGGTAAATTATACCTCCAAAAAAAGAAAAAAAATGCAAAAACAAACATACAGAAAAAAATAGGCAGTCAGCAAAAAAAAAAGAGTTGCTGGCCCAATATTACAACAATCTTCAAAGGGTATCTGGAGTGTGTGCCTGTGGGAATTGAGTGTAGCTAAAACAATGGTCCTCAAAGCGTGGTCCCCAAACCAGCAGCATCAGCCTCACCTGGGAATCTGTAGGGAATGCATATTCTCCGGCCCACCCACACCTGGTGAATCTGAGGGTGTGGAGGGGTGGGACCCAGCAGTCTCTGTGTTACAAGCCCCCGGGATTCTGACACGCGCTCGAGCTTAAGTGGGCTGGAAGAATTCAGGTTCCCTCTTTGCCACCTTCCCCGCCAGCAGAATGAAAAGGGGTGTTTTGGAACTTATTCCTGCCAGCCTGCAGGATACTGTACTTTCCAGACAAGTCCTGCTCCCTCCCTAGCAGATCCTCCCTCGCCCCACATGGCCCCCTGGCTACCCCTTCCTCCCACATCAGAGCCAGTGCCCGGGATGATCTGCATTTGGAAGGAGCCATGCCACCCGGAGGTGTACCGCCAGCCACAGCTGCCACTGCCACGTGGACAGCGGTGGGGCTACTTACTCTGGAGCTTCTTCCCAGGCCGTGTGGGTTTCTGTGCGGCCAGCAGGCTGTGCGCTCCAGGGTCCCCTGCGGCAAAGAAGAAGGGGTGAGTTTATGCAGCTCTTCCACACCAAGCCCAGGAGCCAGCCTGGCCGGGGGTGGGCAGGCAGGCGGGGAGGGGCTTACAAAGACGACGCCCACTGCTCTTCCGCATCTGACCAAGTACGTGCACTAGACACAAGGTAATAGATGAATTTGGTGCACTCCCTCCTTTCTCTGCCTTAAAATGTAGCGGGGGTGGAGACTTTTCTCCACCAGCACCGAGCTCCATGACCTCCCAACCCTCCACGAGCTTTGGTTCCTTCCAGCATCTGACAGAGACGACTTCTCTCCCTGGTGGGGGTGAGATGGAGATGCCCAGCGTGGAGCGGTAGCTCCTTTCACTCTGGTTTCTCTCCTCCCTCCTCCGCTAGACCAGTGATCACTGATGGAGGAGGAAAACAAACACGCGTGGCTCATTCAATAAAGTCTGCCCCTCTACCGTGGCCACGTCACACCTGCTGCAGAGGCCCTTCTGCTGGGCCACTTGGCTGGCGGGGCTGACTCAGGCCCACCCCGGAATTACACAGCAAGGCTCTGTGCCAGCTCTGGGGAGAGTGCTGGATGAGAACAGACCCAGGCATGGCCAGCAAGGAAGAATAAAAGGGCCCCAATGGATGATAAGGATCCTGAGACTTCATCTGAGGAGGAAGAGTGGCAACAGGGGAGGTTTGCTGAGAAATGTAGTGTTTCAACTGATCTCCAAAGGGTGAGAGGAGTCACCTGGTGAAGATGGTGGCATGTGAGCCCTCAAGGCAGTGGGACGAGCATGTGCAAAGGCCCTGTGGCAGGAGGCTGAACATATTTGAGAAATTGGGTGTAGAGGGATGTGTGCAAGGAGGGGGCACTTTGGGGCTGGAGAAACAGATGGAGGCTTGTAGACCAGGGTCAAGTTTAGTCTGTGATCTAAAAGCAATAGAAATTCTCTGAAGTGAGGCAAGGGAGAAGATCCCAGGAGATCAGATCTGCATCCTGAAAAGTTCTCGCTAGCTGCAACATGAGTGGCTGCAGAGGGAGGAAAGGAAGCTGCCACAGGTGACGGCCCTGGAGAGCAGGCAAGGTGGGGCCAGCAGTGAGACCAGTTGAATGAGTCAGGAGATATTTAAAAAGCAAAATCCGGCAATGGATTGGATATGGGGGGAAGTATAAGGGGTATCATGGAGGAATTCCAGGTTTATCTGACCCCCAAAATTAGCCATTTCCCCACCGAATAACACTGACAACCTAGAATCCATTCAAAATCCATCTGAGTCAACTTCAGACTGAGACAAAAAGAGCCCGTCTAGAAAGTCCCAGCGTAATATCCAGCCTCCAAGAATGTTTTAGGAAGGATGGCTACTGTCTCAGGATGGGGCAGACTCCTCCTACTTCCTAGATGGAGGGCAGATGTTTTGTAACCCCTGAAACTCAAGCTCCAGTGCCCCAGATCATGACCCTCCTTCCCATGTCACAACACTGCGGGGATCCATCCCATTTCGGGGGACCGCAGGGAAGCATGGCGGTTGCTGATGGTTACCTGGGACGGTGGGCTCCTCAGGCTTCTTGTTCTGGAGGTGAGTGATGGACTGCTTCAGCTCATTTTTAAGGTCAGTGGTGCCCTGACAGATACCCTTTATCAACTCGTGATTCAGCTCCACCTTGGGGACATAGACTGGCTTCGTTGCAATTCCGTGCAGTTTTGCTGCTTTCTGCAACAAGCCAGAGGATTAGTTCAGGCAGCTCTGAGGAAGCCAGGGCCTGGGCTCAGGCCTCACGAACCCCAGGAGGAGCTTCCCAGCGCCCGTGGGCACCAAGTCCAATCAACCTCTCAAATTACAGGCCAGAGATTGCTGAGGGCTCAAGTGCCACTTAAAGACAGTGACCTGGAGCCGGAAGGGCTCTCAGAGGTCACGTACGTTACAGATGGCAAAACTGAAGTCAAGCAATGCCAAGTGTCCTACCTAGAACTCTGCCAGTTAGTGGTGGGGACAAAGTTGGGACCCAGGTCTCCTGACCCCAATGGATAATGCTCTTTCCACCCCTCCAGCTGTGGCTGAAAAAGTACAGGTGACTCATGACCATCTCCATCCCCTGAGGACCAGCTCTGAACACATGTTCCGAGAACAGAGAGGGATGCCTCGAGGGCTGCAGGACTCAGCTACACACCCAACAAAAAGGGAGAGGCTCACAGAAGGTCCCAAACTCCAGACCCAGTTGGGTCATACAGTATCAAGAGACCCAGACGCGGACTCAGAATCCTTCTTGGAGAGCTCATGGCTGCTACTCTAACAAACAGGAAAGAGCACGTGCGGTGAAACTTAATGCCATCCAGCCTAGGCATGGACAGAGGTCCCTGCACGGAGAAGAGAAGGTTCTCAGCTGCTCCTGAACCTTCCTCAGGGCCCAAACATGGAATCTGGGCCTCCGAGGGGTCAAAGCCCCATCACCCAATCAAAGGGGCTCCCCGGACACCTGCTGCATGCCAGACACTCTGCTGTGTGCTGGCCACACCAGGAGGAAGAGGGCGGTAAAAAGAGGTGAGCCCTGCCCAAAAGGTCCTGATGATCTTTTTTTTTTTTTTGGTCGAGGAGGGGGCAGTTAGGTTTATTTATTTATTTATTTTTAAACAGAGGTACTGGAGATTGAACCCAGGGCCTTGTGCATGCTAAGCACACACTCTACCACTGAGCTGTCCCCTCCCTACAACGGTCTTTTAAATAGACATGAAAACAAGCATATCCAGAACCGACGTCGTCGAGTACAGAGCAGAGGTAGTTAGCAAGCTCTGATCGCCAGCAATGGCAGAGTCACGGCATCTGAGGAAGATGAGGGAACTGGAGTTGCCACGGGGACAAACCTGGGACTGGACTGACTAGGCAGAGGCCAGCCATGGCGGTCCCTTCCAAAGCCCAGCGCGTCTGAGGAATGGTGCATGCACTGCGGTGGTCAGAGCGCGGGGCGTGGGCGGGGGTGGGGGGTATGAAATGAGGCGGCTGGCAAAGGCAGGCCGGTCTCCAAGGGCCTTGTGGGCCAAGCTGAGGGACAAGAAGTCAGAAAGGGTGGGGAGGGGTGTCTGTGCTTTAGAAAGACACTTCCGGGGGCCATGCTGAGGAGGGACAGAGGGATGGGGGTGGAGGCAACATTCTAGGATGGCCTCCAAGAGTCCCGCCTGCCCCGGGTACACCCACCCTACATTGTTTTCTCAGCCTGAGCCTGGGGCAGGACAGTGAGTATGACAGAATATCGCTTCAGCCATTAGGTTATGTTACATGAAAAAACTGAAGGGATACTGCAGATGTAATTTAGATTCCAAATCTGTTGGTTTTGAGTTAATCAAAACGATGATTATCCTGGGTGAGCCTCATTTAATCAGGTAAAAGTCCTTAACAGAGGATCTGGGAGATCCTGGAGGGAGAAATTCCCTGCTGGTTTTGAAGAAGTAAGCTGTTAACGTGAGACAGGGCCACATGGTAAGGAATTGCGGCAACATCTAGAAACCGGGCAGCCCCGCTGGGCAGCCAGTAAGACGAGGGGACCTCGGTCCTGCACTGGCAGGAACTGAGTTCTGCCAACAAACACGTGAGGACAACCCCGAGCCCTGAAAGGAATGCAGCCCAGCCAACATTCGCACAGACTGCAGCCTGGGGAGCCCTAAGTCAGGCCTGAGCCATGGGAAAATGCGAGGTGACAGACATATGTTCTTCTAGGCCACTAAGTTTGTGGCGAGTCGTCATGAAATGTACAAAACTAACACAGCAGGTGTCTCAGGGATGCTTCCCTCGGCCCCTTACTGTCCCAGCTCCTCAAGGGCCCCCACCGCACCTGTGATCAACATCGTAAGGCTGAGAATATCCAACAACGGCCTCATCGTGACCCACCTCCAGAAATTCAAACTCGTCCCCTTTGCTCAGGGCCAGTTCAATCTCCTCCTTGAAGGTCTGGATCTCACTCTTCTTCTTGAGGAGGACCTGGTAAATGTGGTCGAACTTGCTGGTGACCCTCTTCTCCTCTTCCTTTATCTTTCGCGTTGAGCTGGCCTCAGCGGCATCAACGAGAGCCTTCATTTCCAAGTGTTCTTGTTTAAGCTGGTCCAGCTTTCTGTGCGCAGCCTCCTGAGAGGCCAGAGTAAGAGGGCATCCATCAGAGTGGGAAAAAAGCTAAGTGTCAGGGAGACGTGGACCGCCAGGAACTCTTCCCTATACTTCGTGGGGATACCAATGGACACAATCACCACGTGGGAGAGCAATCTGGCAACATCTGGTGAATCTGAAGGTGCTCATACCCTGGGACCCAGCAACTTAATCCAAGGAATATACTCTAGAAAAATTCTCTGACACCTGCCCCAGAGACACGTAAGAATGCTCTTTAAGCAGCACTGAATTTGCAAAATCCCGGAAACAGCCTGAATGTTTATCAAGAGAAGACTGAAAATTATTCACAGGATGGAATGTTAAATAGTAATGAGGGAAAAACAACTTGCAGAAAGAGACATACAGGATGGCGCTCCTTATGTAGAGCTGAGAAACAGCATGCTAGTCTTTACCGCCTAAGGAGTACACATCTACGTAGTAAAAGTATAAAGAAACACATGGGGATGGATACATAAATTCAGAATGGTGGTTACTTCTGGAGAAGAGGAAGGGGGATATAAAAAGGGAGAAGCAAGGTGGGGGCTCTACCTTCATGGGTGAATTTTATTTTTTAAGCTGGGAAGCAGTTCATGGGTAGTTTTTTTTTTAAGGGTATGAAGCTGCTTCACAAAACCTCCTCAAGAATTGCATCATCCAATACCATAGCCACTTGTTACGTGTACAGAACATCCGAAATATGGCTAGCCCCAATTAAGATGTGCTATATGTGTGAAATACACATTGGTTTTCAAAGATGGTAGAAGAAAAGGAATATGAAACATCTCTTTAATACTTTATGTTGATTAAAATAATATTTTAGACATACTGAGTTCAATAAACTATATTACTGAAATTAACTTCATGGGTTATTCAAATTAAAATTATATGTAAGGCTCAAGGAGTGGTATAGCTCAGTGGTAGAGCACATGCTTAGCATGCAGAAGGTCCTGGGTTCAATCCCCAGTACCTCCAATAAAAAAGGAATCTTAAAAAAGGTTTAGAAAAGAATTATATGTAAGGCTCATTTTTTATTTCTACTGGCTAGCACTGGTCTGGAAGCTGGAGTTTCACTTTACATCTCGGGTCGCTCAGTCGGCTCAGAATACAACATGACAAACAGAAACCCACACAGAAATTCCAGGGAGATGGAATTCAGTTCTTTCTTTATTCAACACGTTGCCACCTCCAACGTGACCGCCAACATCTCTAAACATTCATCCTCCTCTCCGCCTGTCGGTAAGAGGACACGTCTGGAGTTTAGATGGGCACACGGCTGCCCAGCCACAGACTACAGTTCCCAGCCTCCCCTACGGCTGCGCTTGGTCGTGTGACTGAGCGGTTCCCAGGGCAACGGGAGCCGGAGGGATAAGTGCCACCCTCTCCTTCCCTGACTGCCTTCTCACAGGCTAGGAGACGGATGGAATGGTGACCCAGCTGCAACCAAAGAGATGAGGAAGGGCAGTAAGAGGGAAAGATCTGGAACCCTGAAGGATCACGTGGAGCAGAGCCATTCCACTAGCCTGGGCTGCTCAGGTCTGGCCTTGAACTGTCACAGTGAGCAGAATAAACGTCTGTCTCATTTAAGCCACTGAATTTGGGGGGGTGTATATCTTCATTACAGCAGTCTAGGCTGCCCCTGCCCCCCAACCGATGCAGGTACTTTCATGTGCATCCGCTCCTCTAAGCCTCACCTTTGGAAAGAAGCTGTGATTCCTTCATGCAAATGGGGAAACTAAGGCTCAGAGATCTGCCAACGTGACCAAAGTATCCCAGGCTAGAATGGAACAGAGCTGGTATTTGAACCCAGACCTCGCCTAATTAAGCCACAGCTGCTGCAATGAAACTTCACGCTGCAGCTCCAGAACAAGATGTTTAAAAATCAAATCTTCTTTCAGTATAAAAGCACTCCTAATTCTACCACTGCAATACTTGCACTGCTGTTCCTTTACTGTGTTTCCTTCCAGTCTGTTTTCCTGTAATCACTATAATGGGTTGAATGGTGGTGCCCCAAAAATATGTCCATGTTGCAGAACCTGTAAATGTGACCTTACTAAGAAAAGGAGTCTTTGCAGATGTAATTAAGGTAGGAATCTTGAGATGAGATCCTCCTGGATTACCCCAGTGGGCCCTAAATCCAATAGCAAGTGTCCCTGTTAGAGAAAAAGAGGAGAGGACACAGAGGGAGGAGGCCACATGAAGACGGGGGCAGAGACTGGATGATGCCGCCACAAACCAAAGAATGCCTGAGCCACCAGATGCTGGAAGAGGCAGGGAAAGATGCTTCCCCAGAACCTCCGGAAGGAGGGTGGCCCCATGGACACTTTGAATTTGGACTTCTGGCCTCCAGAACTGTGAGAGACCACGTTCCTATTGTCATAAGCCAGGTCTGTTGTCATTTCTTACAGTAGCCCTAGGAAACAAATAAACTTTAAAAAAAATAAACAAACAGATGCAACTTTGGCTTTGTGTTTTTCTCCCACTTAAATCATAACCTCTTTTTATATTAGGTTTTAACCCTAATTTTTTTCATTTTTTGGTGGGGGCGATAGTTAAGTTTATTTATTTATTTGTTTATTAATGGAGGTAGTGGGGATTGAACCCAGGATTTGTGCATGCTAAGCACACACTCTACCACTAAGCTATACCCGCCCAACCCTAATTTTTTTCTTTTTACGTATTTTGAATCATTTGTTGCGTAATACCTTAAACTTACGCAATGCTATGTGGCAATTATACCCTAATAAAGCTGGAAAAATCATAAAAGACACGTAGAGTTGAAAAGAGATGCACAACATTAGCTCTCATGAGCAAGCCTAACTGGATCCAAAAACTTGGGGTCTTTGCACACGCTGTTTCCTAAGCTTAGATCCCTATTCATTCCCCTTTTTTCAGAGCTCTGTGAAATTGTTATTTCTTCAAGAAAACCCTCCCTGAAACAGAGTATTTTATTATATGACCTTATAACAACTGCACCAGGTACAACCCCGCTCTCATATTTTCAAAAATTTTAATATTTTCTGGAGCATTTGATTAACATATACCCCTGTCTGATTAGATTATGCACACTAAGGCAGCAATAAAAAATTATTTGGTTTTTTTTTTGGGGGGTCTTTTTTTTTTTAACTGCTGAATGTCTAAAGAGGAAAAAAAAACCAATGGTTCAAAAAATCACATTTATGCCACTTTGCCTAGCATGGAAAACATTTTCAACTTCTATTTGTCCTTATTGATTATCTGAATTCTCAGAAGCCAGGCAGGACTTCCAACAGTGAATAAGACTCTTTTAATCACATATTTGATAAACATTATAGATTGGTTTCTTTTTTTCTTTTTACTATTTGGGGGGGACAGTTAATTAGGTTTATTTATTTATGTTTGGAGGGAGTACTGGGGATTGAACCCAGGACCTCGTTCATGCTAAGCATGCGCTCTGCCCCTTGAGCTATACCCTCCCCCCAGATTGATTTCTTAATATCCAAAAAATCCTTCTTTTAACCAACCCTAATTTTTAATGACTCCCGCACCAAGGCTGGGTTGTAGGTTGTCTTTGGTTCTGTGAAGGCCCTCTCCCAGGACGGCACGCCTTGGTTTGTGGCTCAGGCATTCCTTGGTTTGCAGCTCTTCTTGCATGTTTTGCAAAGCTGAAGTTTAATTCTGACACTCAGGGAACCCAGCATGGGCCTTGTGGAGGCCAGAGCTGAGCTCATCCTTCCTGGAGGCAGAGGGAGGCCCCAGAAGAGCCCTGTCACTCACCCGCACATCCTGCTGCCTGGCTCTCACGTCCTCCAGTGCTCTCGATGCGCCATTGATCTGACAGTACATGATACTCAGTTTATGCCTCAGCTTGTTCTGCAGAGAAAACAACCGGGTGAGAAAGCACCTGGTCTCAACTCCCCCCAGCACCCAACACCAGGGCCCGCCCCCGGTTCTATCCCAAAGGTACCTCCACCACCCCGAGTCTTGCCTGCTTGTAGCTTTCTGAAACAATTTCATATCTATAGCCTCCCTCCATCCTTTCAGGGGGACAGTACACTAAAGAAATTTCAAGTACAGGATTCAGAGCCAGACAGACCAGGGATCCAGTATCGAGCCCCAGTTCTCCAACTGCCTCTCACCTGTTTCCTTGGCTATGAAATAGATGTAACTGTTCCCACCCGCAGGGCTAGTAGGAGGATTAACTGAAGCTGTCTAAGTCCTCAGCACAGTGCCCGGATCTTAGCAAGAACAAAGGGCCTTAGGAAACGATAGCGTGGATGATTCTGAGCTTCTTCACTCGCACCCATTTTACAGATGATGAAATGGAGGCAAAGAAGACAGCAAGGTGACCAAGTTCATACAGACAGAATGAGCTGGGGCAGCTGCCTCAGTAAGTGGCAGAGGAGGTCATTCAAACCACACTTCCCACTGTAAACAACCAGAAAAGCAGACAAAATATGGCGGGAGGAAGGATCTGCTCAAAGACACCGGGGAGCTGACAAGGCAGGGAGGAAGTATGAGGGTTAGGCCAGGGAGAAGGAAACCTAGAGAGATAAGCCTGGCATCTGGGGCTGTTCTCCCAGAGCCATCTGCTAGTTCCGGAAGGCAGCTGGGAGAGCCTCTGGGAAGCAGGGGACAAAAGTCAAGAGCCCAACGCTCACTAGATAAGCCCACAGGCAGGGACCTCCAAGGGCTACACCCCAGGAATAAGGATGAACCAGCAGCAGACCCCCCCCACCCCCACCCTGACAGCTCAGTCCCTGAAACCAAACTAAGGCGATTCAGAATTGCTAAATCCCCAACCACCTTCAGATACACAGGCAAATTATGCAAGAAGGAAGCTAATTTCATCCCAGGCCTCTTAGTACTTACACAAATTTTCATGATCCATATATGAATTTCACCCTGCTCAGGTGGAATGCTGAGGCCTAGAAATGGGTGGGAAAGTCACCACCACCACCAGCATCACCATAATGAAGAAAGTGAGTGTTTATCGTGTACTTCCTCCAAGCCAGGCATTTTTCTAATATTAACTATGTAAAGCTAAAAACAATACTAGGAATTAGGGGTTACTCGCCCTTGACAGATGAGCTCACTGAAGCACAGAGCAATTAGGTGGCCTGCCTTAGGTCGCAACACTATTAACTGGTGTTACAAGATCCTGGTGTCACAATTATAGACTCGTGCCCAAACTGAGCACACACAAAAAGAAGAAAGGAAAAAAAGAAAAGAACAAACTGAGCATACAGGAAACTTCTAGGGAAAAAATGTATGTCCTGTAACCAGCTGGTTCAACAATACCCTGGCCCTCCCTTCCACTTCCCAGCCTCTCCCACTCCACCAGAGTGAGGCAGGGCTGAACCTGACCTTGAACAACCCAGTGACAGTCACATGTAAAGGCTGGAAGCAGAGACCAAGGCCACACTAACTCAACTCCAAAAGCCCAGGTCACTAATGATGAGACTTCTGTGACAATGCCCTTTGGCCTGGCCTCTAACAGTAGCCAAGATACACTGAACCAAAGGTGGAAGGAAGCGCAGGCCCAGGCAGCTGTGGCCTCACAGGTCTCAGAGCTGGAAGAGACCTCTGGGGGCTACCAACTGTTTTCACCTCCAAGAGCCACTTTTGGTAGAACAGCCTTGCATTCCATATTTTGAAAGATTTTACCAATCATTCATCAAACGCGTACAGCAGTCCCCTGATGAGGGAGAGGGACCCACTCGGCCACAGACAAAAGGGAAGTGACCCACAGACTGACAGAAATGACCATTCCCTAATCAAAGTAGAGAACTTCTTGAAGTTCTGAGGATCCCTTCACAGACCGGGGACTTGGGTCCTGACTCTGCCTCACACCAGCGACTGAGCCAAGCTGGGCTGGCTCTGCCACCAGTAGTGACCAGAAGCAGGGCTGGAAAACTAGACAGGTTGAAGGACTCAACAAGCCAGGACAATGGCAAGTGGGGGGAGATGGCAGGGGAAGGCCTGTCACAAAGATTTCAAAGCCAAGCATGTACGGCACACAAATCACCTGGGCCCAGACCCAGCTCCGGGCTGACAGAGAGCTGTGGCCCCAGGCCAGGCTGAGATGGGCCCCTATTTGCCTTCTGCCTCTTGGATATGAACTTCCTGAGGGGCCTTTGGACAAGAGCCAGGCTGCCCTGAGGCAAAGAAGATCTGGGTAGCCTGACACTTTCCTCGAAGCACACTCCCTTCGGGGCATGTAACAGCAGCTCAGCCATGCATTCAGTGTAAAACGCCCTTCAGGGATCTCTGCATTTAATCCTCCCAATAACCTTCTGAGGCAGGTGCTAATATTGTCCCCTTTTATGAGTTCCCAGCTGGGAAGCAGAGCCAGAATTCAAGGCCAGGTCTCAACACCCAGCTCTGGTCAGAGCCCGTCAACCACCCTGACCCTGGGGTCTGCCTGCGAAGCGCTTCCCACACAGCTCATCCAGCCCCAGTTCCCCGGGCCTCCCAACCACCCTTGGAGGTGGAGACGGAAGGCTATTAATCCCATTTCACGGATGAAGAAGCTGAGGCTCAGAGAACAGCAGTGATTTGCCCTAAACCACAGCTGATGGAGGGCAGAGCAGGGCTCCAGGCTCTGAAGGCTGGGCAGGTGCCTTCCTGTAACAGGTGGGACCCAGGTGGGCTGGGCCAGCAACGGCTGGGCCTCCGAAGTCAACTGTCAGGCCGGGCCTGAGACCTGGCTTCTGGGATTCGCGAAGTCCACAGGAACCCAACTCAGACTGGACAAGCAGACCAGGCCAGGGAAGGGCTGTGGCCAGATGGGAGCAAGGCCTGCACCCTGGTCCTGGTGCCACCACAAACCTCCCACAGGCCTCATGTCTCCTTGGTCAACACATGGACAGCCCTTGTAGTCCCTGACAGCGGCAAATCAGGCCTCGCTTTGCACCTTTGACTCATGCAATGAAGGGTAGTTTGACTAAAGCCTCTGCCTTGAGTCCACGGGGGAAATCATAATCCCCTAAACCCCTGAAATCAAATAGACCTGGGAGGTCCCTGAGGAATCCACCTGGTCCCATCTCCTCGCTTTACTGCTGAGGACAAATCCTGTGCTTAAAGTGGCACAGCCAGGGCAGAGGGCTCGATGGTGCAGGAGTCTGGCTCTTCCTGTGCGTTATATCCAGAGATTCCTGTCCCCCCCCTCCCCACCCATAACCATCCTCCCTCGTCACCAGAAGTCTCTGGCTCACGGAAGGCTTTTGCTCACAGGCCTCAAACAAACCTCCAGGAATGTCCCATGCTCTGAACTCTGCGGACTTGGCTACGAGGCTGGTCCATGGGGAGAAATGGCAAAACATGGTGTCAGACCAGCTGGGGGCGCAATTCTCTGAACCTCTATTTCCTCAACTAGAAAATGGAACTAACTATACCAGGATATATTAAGAGAACAGAGGTAACCTCCAGCGCTCCTATTTGACGTTCAAAACCTTCTATTAAACGTCATCAGACAAGTACTAGGCTTAAGGCAAATAACATCACCAGCGTCTTCAGTGGTCCCCTCTGTAAAATGGGAGCGTGGAGTGGGGGTAAGCGAGGCGGACCACAAATGATGGTGGAGGGCTGTAGTTCTCCCAGCCCGTTTCTACCCTGCCACTGGGGATGCTCCTGCTTGGATCTCAGGCCCAGCAAGGTCCATCCCCGCCCCTACCCAGGTGATCCAAGGGAGGCCAAGACGCCCACGGTGACGCCCCCTGCACAACCCAGCTCGCCCGGGCTGCCGTTCTGCATCCTCGCCCGCCACCCGTACCTCCAGCTCGGCACTGGCTTGGCTCAGGGGCGTAGGCGAGCAGGTCTTGTGCTCCACCAGGCAGATGTGGCAGATGCACTCGTTGTGCTCGGTGC